TTCAGAAAATCCTGCAGCCCCACAGTCAGACCCTGGGAACAAAGTGTCTTGGCACTTGTTGGAGCCCTTGGTACAGGTTTTATCAGAGCACAGTGAACTTCTTTTTTACACATTTTACACAAAATGTTTTGTCTTAAAGTTTTGGCAGCTTTTGGGGGTTTGTGTGTGTGGTTTTTTTTTTCTTCTCAGTGTGAGGAAAGTGGGAGCTGCTCACAGTGACAATCCTGTGGGGTCACTGATTCATCTCAGGCTGCAGTAATGAAGCCAATTAAACACTACCTGGGTGATGAGGCTATTTTAGACCAGAAACACCTGGATATTTTTGGAACTGAGGCTTCCAGGCTTGTTTCCTGTACTGCTGCAAAAGATGATCAGAGTGCTGGTGCCTTCATGTCTCTGTGCAAACCCCCCTCCCTGCTAAACACAAAATCCAGGGCAGCCTGGCAAGGAAATAGTGTAGCTACACATTTTCTGGCTATTTATTGTCTGTCACCATCCTAAAAGTGAGAGCTGAAGGTGCAGAGAAGTTCAGTGGTTGAAGTTTGTCTTGTGGAGTGTGTTGTTATTCCTGTACAGTCCCTGAGCTGCAGTTTTTGGAGCCTTTGGGATTGTTGCAGTGAAAGTTTGGCCAATAAAGCTTTAAACATCAACAATTTAAACGTGCAGTTACCAGGATCTGTGCAGGAGGCCCTTGATGAACAAGCTCAGAGCAGGTGTTGGCAGCAAGTGAATGTTGTCCTTGTGCAGATAAATTATAAACTTAGTGTCAAAATTGAAGACGAGCTTCTCTCCTACAAAAATATCAGAGAATTAAAGGGATTTTATCAGAATGTTCTGACTTTGTACAATTCTCTTTGAAAATGTGCTTTAAAGGGCACATTTAAAGGGAGAGGTACAGAAGGAAAGGGGGTGGGAGAGGAAAAACCATTTTATTCTGCTCCCCCTTCACAGCTAATCTCACTTTTAATTTTTTTTCTGCTTAATTGGAACCTCTAAGGGTTCAGATGGAGGAATGAAGAGGTGAAATGCCTCTAACAAGGGTGTTGTCCTGATGTTTGAAATGCAAATATAAAATACTTGTTAAAAGCAAATATAAAAAGGAACAGGGGGGATGTTTTCCTCACATCTTTCCCAGTCTTCAAAGAGAGACCTAAAACCAATTTTGGCTGTGTTGGCTCTTAAAAGCTTTAAGTAATGGGGGAAAAAAGACTTAAAAAAGCCTAAAAGCGTGAAATCCTCTGGGCAATCACTGCCATTCCCACCCCTTTTCCTTGGAGATTCTCTGGACACAGCCCTGGACACCTGCTCTTGTGAGCAGGGGTTGGACTGGACACCTCCAAGTCCCTCCCAACCCCAGCAGTTCTGTGGGAAGCACATGGAATGTGGGGGTTGTGTGTCCTAAAACTCCTTTTCAGCTGCCATTGACCCCCTTGGGACACATTTTCCTCCGCTGTGTGGATATTTTTTTATCCAGCATCCAAGAAACTTCCCTGGCTGAAATTCCCTTGCATGGATGTACAAACCCTCCTTGGCTCCAAAGGGAATGTTCTGTGCCTCGTTCACTGATTTGGAAGCAATGAGCTTCCCTTCCCAATTGGGAATCTGGGAATTCCCTCAGAGCCCATCCAGCTGGAACTGGCTGCTCTATCCCTAAGGATTCCTGTCAGCTCTGTCGTTCATCTCTTCACCCTTATGCATTTTGGAGCTGCACATTCCTCTCTCCAGCCCTCTGGAATGGTTTCCTTCACTCATGGATCTGCTCCCAGAACAACTCCATGAACTCCCAAGGCTGTGGATGTCACAAGGAGGCATCAGAGCAGGCAATAGCCAGAGTGTCCCAGATCTGTGGGAGCAGGAGGAGGAGGAGAGGCCTCCTGGGAGACCCTGCACTGAATATTCCTGATGCTCTCTGTGTCCTGGTGGAACGAAATAATTCCTTTCTCTTAAGATGCAGGTTGAGATTTTAGCAGAAATATCTTCATTCTGGGGCTCAAAGGAACAAAATGTCCTTGGTGGTGCCTGAAGTCTTTAGTTCTTTATAATTTAGACATCTGGCCTCTGATTTTAGGGCTGTTTAGAGCTTCTTATTGAAGTTGGAACTCCATCAGGTATTTATAGCCCTGGGTGGGTCTTGGAAATCATTTAAGTAACCTCAAAAAACACCAGCAGGAGTTTTCCCCAGGAGGGGACACAGAGACTCTTGTTTCCATGGGGATTCCTGGCTGGAAGAGGCTGAGAGAAGCTGAGGGGTCTCCTGCCAAGCCCCACCATCCACCCAGGACAAGCCCAGCTTCCCTGGAACCCACAGCCCCCTGAGGAACACGTTGTCCTGTCTACAGACCCCCTAAAACCTGCCTGGGGGCCCCCTGGCAGAGAGCAGAGCTGGGCAGGGCCTTCCTGGGCAGGAGAGGCAGCTCTCAGGGGCCATGTCCCAAAATCTTGCCAGGCAGGGATTGCCTCAGAGCCAAAATGTGCCAGGTGCTCTGGAAGGGGGGATCCATGAGGTGCCAGGGTGCTGAAAGGGGGTGCAGAGGGTGCTAAGGCTCTGAGGGGGGATAAATGAGGTGAGGAGGTTCTTGGGGGGATAAATGAGGTGCCAGAGCTCTGGAAGGGGGGTACATGAGGTGACCGGGCTCTAAAGGGGACACAGGAGGTGTCAAGGCAGTGAGAGGGGACACATGAGGGGACAAGGCATGAAGGGGAGAATAAGGGAGGTGACAAGGCTCTGAGAGGGGACACATGGGGTGGCAAGGCTGTGAGAGGGGCACACAGTGTGACAAGGCTGTGAGTGGGGGTACATGGGGTGACAAGGCTGTGAGAGGGGCACACAGTGTGACAAGGCCTGAGAGGGGACACCCAAGGTGACAAGGCTGTGACTTTGTGGCAGCACCACCTCGGTGTGTCCCACAGCCCCCCTGCCCTCCGGATCTCTGGCACCCAGGAGGCCACAGCAGCCGGTGGGGATGTCCCCTCCGAGTCCCCCAGCTTTGAGGGAGCTCCCAGGAAGACCCCAACTTCTCCCCATGGCTGGGGGGCTGCCCTGCCCCTCTCTGTGGGAACCCAGGTGGGCTTTGGTGCAGGAGCCTGGTGGCATCTGCTGCCACCCATGTTCCTTCTGCCAGAGCATGGACACCTCGTGACAAAGGCATTGG